GATGCCGCCGCAGCCTGACCTTATTCTTAAAGTGTTGAAGGGAACTCGCATTCCACGCGGAACTCGCATTCCACGCGGCTGCTCGAAGGGGTGCTGGTTGGCGGCAGCTGCCGCTCATGAGCACGTGCGTCGTGCTAAAGACTCCACTGCGTGCCCTCCGACTCGCGGCAGAGCTGCTCCTTGATCCTCGGCTCCAGCACGGCTCTGTCAAAGCCCGCCTCCGCCAGGTTCGCCGCGGCCCAGCGGATGATCGGCTCCTCGTCGCCCTCCTGCGGGACCACCTGCAGCAGCGGCTTCCAGTTGATGGACACCGTGCCCTTGACTCTGTCCGTGAACACCTTCTGCAGCGGGTAGCACGTGTTGAATATGCGCTTGGCCGCCTTGACCGCCTGCTCGGTCTTGATCTGCTTCGCATTCTTGTCGGGGCCCGAGAAGATCTCGGAACGACTGCCAGTGATCGAAAGGCCCTCGAACTTCCGCCATTCAGCTCCAGCAGCCGGAGGACGAAGAGTGCCCAGCGCCTGCAAAACCTTCCTGCTCGCCCAACCCGTTGCACCACTGATGCGCAGCGCGAAGCGGCGGCTGGTGGGCTCCCCCTCCAGGTTCCACTCGTTCGCAGCCAAGTTCTGCTCCTGAGTCCAAGGACGGAGGACGTTCGCCACGGCGTCCTTCGCCATCTGCTCCTTCGTGCGGATGATGATGACCGTCGCATCGATCTCACGGTCCCAGTTGGCGGAGACCATGGGGCGCGGCGGTGCTGCCTCAGGCGACCTCGCGATGCCCAGCTCCGTCTTGAGGTACTTGATCTCGCTCGCCATGGTGTCCAGGCGCGTAGCGTGTTCACGTTGCACTGCCAGAACGGGTTCGAGGCGTTGATCGACTTGTACAGCCAGGCTTTGGCACGCAGCCACCACCTTCGACTGCATGTTATTGACGGTGGTCTGCAGCGTGGAGACCGACTCCTGGCGCTTCGAGACGTCGGCCGACAGGTCAGTGCGCAGTTGCTCCACCATCGCACGCAGGCCATCTCCGTTGTCTCCAGCATCCACAAGGTGGAAAGCCCCTGCTCCTGCACCTTCAGCTGCTGATGACGCTGCACGTTTCGCCATGATTCCAGATCAGCCTCGCCGTCAGCTGCTCCCGCGGCCCCGCGGATCAGCTGCCCTGGCGCCCCAAGGCCGAGCAAAAGGAATGTAAAAGTGAGAAAGAGGGGCGCGCGCTGGCCGCCCGTCCTGCCGCGCAGGGGAAGCTTGAGGTCCTGACTACGGAAGCAGCCAAGACCAATCAGGTTACCTCGCAACTTCGTTGCTTCCCCCCGTTTGGTTTTGAGCCAAAATGGCTACGGACCCTCCTCTTCCTCCTCCTCCTCCTCCTCCACCTCCGTGCTACTCGTCTCTCTTCTCCCTCCCCTCGCTCCCTCCCTCGTGCTACTCCGCCCCTCCATACCTCTCATCCTCGTCCTCCTCATCCCTCCCCAAATCTTCCTCCCTCACTCCTCTTCCTGCTCCACGCCCTCCCACCCTCCATCCTCCGTCGTTCAGCGTCCTTCTCCTCGTCTCCGTCATGATTATCATCCGTATCGCCATCATCATCATCACCCTCTCCCCACCTCCTGCACATCATCACAGTCCCCCCATCTCCCTCCTTCTCCTCCTACCTCCTGCTCCTCATCCTCCTCCTCGTCCCACCCTCCTCCCCTTCCTCTTCCTGAAGGCACACCCTCCTCCCGAAGGCATCCTCCGATGACGACTGCGACGACGGCGGCGGTGGCGACCTTCGCGCGAGACAGCGCGGGGACTCCACAAAAGATCCGAGCGCAACGGCACCGCACATGCCTTTCGGGAGAGGCGGGTAGGAGCACGGAGCGGGACGGCGATGAGAGTATGCCGGGCCCTGGCCCGCAGAAGCAGCGGCTGGCCACGGCCGCGGCGCTGGCTGCCGACCCTCCCGTGGATCGCCCCACAAGATCGCAGCTGTTCGGCGTCGGTCCTTGACGCTTCGTGGCCCGCTCGACCTTCTGCGTTCGAGGCTTTCCGCGAGCACGGATCGGTCGATGCCAAGCGCTTCAAAAGCACTGGAGGGGGTCCCACTTTGAACGCCCACGCGAGGATCGTCGTCGTCGTCGTCGTCGTCGTCGTCGTCGGGGCCGTCTGAGCTCGCCTTGGCCGGTGGAGTGGCCCCCTTACCCGAAGGTTAAAAGGCGCCCAGGGACACACAAATCAATAGACACAAATCCCAGGATTCCCCATATTGTCCTGGGAGTCGACGATTAGTGGTGTCTATGTGTTTTTTCCCCTCCTGACGAAGGTGTGCCTTCAAAGAGGGCACATGAAAGCGGGAGCGTGCGCACCGTCTGCCGGGGGTGCCTCGTCCCTGCAGGCCGAAGGTGCTCCCCAAACACTTGTTCGCTCCACTTCGGAGCCCCTGGGGACCTCTGGGCCTTTCGAGGACCCTCCGAGCGTGTGTCAGCGCCGGTCGGCCGCTCTGGCCCGCTCGACGCGGAGCTCTTCCACTTCTGAGCGCTTTCCCCTCCCCCTCCCCCCGCGCGGCCGCTCTGTCTCTTCTCCCCCCCCCCCCCCCCCCCCCCTTGCATGCCGGCCAATTAGCCCTTTGGTTGCCCCGAAAAGCCACACGCTGGTGCGGACTGCCTCTGCCTCGCCGACGACGAACAAAGTGTTAGCGCCAACGTGTTCGTCCATCGAGACACCTCAGAAGTGCTACGCAAATGATGTAACATTTACCCGTGGAGCTGAACGGGGCAACGCACATTCGGATGATACACGTCCTGATGATCATCGAGCCTTGGGAAGGGGCGATCTGGAGGCCATCTGGGCCTCCCGGGAATCTTAGGATCGCCTTGGGGCAGGGGCACCTCTGCCAACACCCGAGGGTACACATGGCTGGGTTCACATGTGCAACATCTGGAGGCCAAGGGCTGGATACAAACATGCGGAAGCCAGGCGTGCCTGGCCAGAAGAAGGGCCGAGAGCTGGAAAAACACCTGGCCACATGTGTAGCCAGCTCTCGCACAGGCCAGCCACGACATCTGTGTTCAGCTTCCTGGTAATCCAGCGGAGAAGATGCGCAGGCGAGCAGACGCCCTCCGACGCGGAGACTCTTCCGCCGCTCCGCCACATTGAGCGGCGCGACGACAAGCGGCCGAGAAGCCGCAGGGGCGGGATCAGTCAGCGTCGAATCGGGACATCGGGTCGGGCAACATCAGTACGAAACTGAACTTGAATCGGACCGGCCGCACTAAGATGCACAACAACGCCGTGCAAACATCGATCCGCATCGCAATGGCGGGCCACCGGAACCGAATCGGATAAAGCGGGCCAGGGTCGACATCGTAACCGCTCCGTCACATCGAGATGCACCCTGAGGGGCGCCGAGGCCAACCCAAACCTTGGAAATTCGCAAACAACATACACCAAGAAGAGGAGGAAGAGGAGGAGGAGGAGAAGGAGGAGGAGAAGGAGGAGAAGGAGGAGGAAGGAGGAGGAGGCGGAGGGAGGAGGGCGGAG